TTCGGCAGTAATTTACACTGTTTCCCTTTATCATTGCTTAATATATGTACATATGTACATGCATACATATGTACATATCTATGTACATCCATAGGTACATGCGGACATTGTAGTACTACAATTGAATATAAAAGTAAGATTATAGTAGAAGCTGTTACGATTAAAACATAAATAACTGAATTAAAAACCTCCTTCTCATCAAGTATTTTATGGTACTTCCCGTACTTCGAGGTTACAGTAAGCATTGGTAGCAATGGTAACATATCTGTAGGATTAATTAACTAAATTGTATATAATAGGACAGATTTTAAAAGTAATTTTTCCCCATCAATAATTTTGCTATCGCCCTCTCGAACAGCGATGGCAAAGTTGTTTATGCAAGTAAATACTAGGTCTTAAATAATAGTAATCTGTAATTCCTAACAATAGGTTTAAGGATCGTTATTACGGTGCTTTGTTATACCATTTCATGCACTTATGTATGTACTTAATACATATGTATATGTACATAAAAATAAGTTATTAAAAACAAACGACTTCCGGTAAAGTTAATCCTTACAAAAATCACGTCCGTAGTAAATATTATAATTGATATCGTTCCTTCTGGAATATACATAGCTGTTCATTCATGGAAAGAACACTTATCGCATTGTAGTGAAAATGAGTTTTTTGGCGCACACACACACACACACACACACACACACACACTATTATGCATTTATTGTTAAAGAGCAATACACCTGAAAATCACACTCATATGAGTAAGCATGATAATGCTGTTAGTAAATCTGGTAGATAAGTTAGGTGTTTTTCATAAAGGGGGCTCTCACTTGGTTGAACGGACTTCAAGAAATCAGTTGACTTACTCTCCCTCTGCGTACCGTACGCATGATCGTCGGAGCGGACTACCGAATCAAATATTTTCCCCTGTGTAGGGGTTCTCGTTTTCAAGAAACTGAAGTGAACGATAAGAGCCTCCGCATCGTTTCTCACATTTTCTGAGTTAGAGACTTAATCAGTGTACAATATGCATATTCGATTTGATGCATAAGTCCATTATATACATACATATATATGTATATATATATATACATATATGAAAATATATCTGTGATCCCTCGTATTAGAGGAACTACTGATTAGTCAATATATCGTGCAAGTTCCTTAATCAGTTCCAAATGCAAATGCAGTATGAAAATTGTACACCCGAACGTTCCCCCGCCCAGATGACCACCCCGCTGCATAATATGTGCACCCGCCAACCCGAAGGTTCGTTTTTTAGGACTTGTATAATAGTGCTGAGTAATTTTTCTCGCGCTGTTTTTGCTAAAAAAAAAAAAAAAAAAACAACGGAGCATGACTCTTCAAATCACGAATCAAGCTCTCTTACCTTACACTCTAAAACAGCCACAATGATTGGCAAAAATGTTCCAACAAATTCTTGATTGTGCACAGTGGAGACCCAACATGTATAACTGCACCTGCATTTATCATGAAATTTAGCTTTTGCAATTTTAATTTGTATTCCTATGAACTCGGATAAGTACGTGTGTCTTTGGATATGATATTCAATGGCACTGATCTTCTTAAAGTAGACAGTCGGATGTTGCTGAACAGACAACTGCAAAACTAGTTTGCGTTGAATATAAATCCGGTTAGCAATATTGTGTGTTTTTTATTTGGTCACGTAAGAAGAAACAAAGAATGCGTTTTGCGGTATGGTATGTGATGGTTATCCGTTTTCAAAGAAACCGTAGTATCAGGATAATCTATCAATAACCCTGACCATTCTAGTTTAATAGTATTCATTTTTACTCTTACATACATATGTATGCATCTTTAGCTTATTCGGGATATGTACAACACACAGTAAACCAACTCATAGGGTACGCGGTAGAGCTCCGTCAGCCAGTAAACCAGTATTATTTTCAACGTTTCAAAACTTAGCGGCAAAATTAGGGATTAATGATAAACGCAGGGATCTTAATGTATATTTATATGTAATTTATAATTCAAACTTGTTTTATCGGTCTAATATTGTTCCTGCGCATTTCAGAGATTGAGATGAACAACCATTCCGAAAGTTGTTCCATCTCAACCGCTTGCGGACGGTTCGAGTCGGTGCACTCCCCCATAGATGACCACGATGCTACTGACGATGACATGACATTTTGCATGTCAAACTACGCCAAGGAAGCTCTGAAGATGATGTTCATGATGCGCTCACACGGCATGCTAACAGATGTCGTGCTGGAGGTTAAAAAGGAACTATTTCCCGCCCACAAAGTAGTGTTGTCCGCAGCATCACCTTATTTCAAAGCTATGTTTACTGGGGGTTTAAAGGAGTCTGAAATGTCGCGCGTGCAGCTACAGGGGGTAAGCTAATATCAACGGTGAACCTCAATTTGTTGGTTTAATAGATGAACAGTTTTCGTCTTTGGTTTTTGTAGGTTTGTCCCACAGCAATGTCGCGAATTTTGTATTTTATGTACACCGGTCAAATTCGAGTAACCGAAGTAACTGTTTGCCAACTACTGCCTGCAGCGACCATGTTCCAAGTGCCAAATGTAATTGATGCCTGCTGTGCCTTCTTAGAGCGACAATTAGACCCAACCAACGCTATCGGCATTGCAAACTTTGCGGAGCAGCACGGGTGTGTAGAGCTTCAAAAGAAAGCAAACGTATTTATTGAAAGGAACTTCACTCAGGTGAGTAGTCCACTGCCAATAACGCCAGGAATCATCTTCGTAACCGATAACATCGCTTGCTTAACCCAGGTCTGTCAAGAAGAAGAGTTCCTGCAGCTTTCGGCATATCAACTCATTGCCCTCATTCGAAGAGATGAGTTAAACGTACAGGAGGAGCGGGAGGTTTACAATGCTGTGCTTAAGTGGGTAAAGTACGACGAGGACAATCGGCACTGCAAGATGGAACATATTTTGGGAGCCGTCCGATGCCAGTTCCTAACGCCCAACTTCCTCAAGGAGCAAATGAAGAATTGCGATGTTCTACGCAAGGTTCCGGCGTGTCGCGAGTATCTTGCGAAGATATTTAAAGACCTAACGCTGCACAAGTGCCCTGGAGTAAAGGAGCGTACTCCAAACACGACACGTATGATATTTGTCGCGGGCGGTTTCTTTCGACACTCTCTAGACATACTGGAGGCCTACAATGTGGACGACAAGACTTGGACTACTCTGCCGAACTTGCGGATCCCACGATCCGGCCTCGGCGCTGCATTTCTTAAGGGAAAGTTCTATGCAGTTGGTGGTCGAAATAACAACATGTGCTCATCGTACGACTCTGACTGGGTGGATCGTTATAGTGCCATAAGCGAGACTTGGCGGCCGTGTTCGCCAATGTCCGTGCCGCGTCATCGCGTAGGAGTAGCCGTTATGGACGAGCTGATGTATGCTGTGGGAGGTTCCGCGGGCATGGAGTATCACAACACAGTGGAATAGTGCGTATAAAGTGATGATTGTCAATACCAGATTTTGCTCAGCCAACGTCTTTATTATTTGCAGCTATGACCCCGACCTCGATCGTTGGACGCTTGTTCAGCCAATGCATTCCAAACGCTTGGGTGTGGGCATAGTAGTAGTCAATCGCCTGCTCTATGCGATCGGCGGATTTGATGGTAACGAGCGATTGGCCAGCGTTGAATGTTACCATCCAGAAAACAACGAGTGGAGTTTCTTGCCGCCACTGCAAACTGGTCGCAGTGGAGCGGGTAAGTGGAACGAATACATTTCCAAACTTTACTTCTGTTATGATGACTTCTGTATTTTTAGGTGTGGCCGCTATTAATCAATTCATTTACGTAGTTGGTGGCTTTGATGGTACTCGGCAATTGGCCACAGTGGAGCGCTATGATACCGAAAATGAGACCTGGGATATGGTTGCACCCATACAAATCGCACGCAGTGCACTCTCCCTAACACCTCTCGACGGAAAACTGTACGCCATCGGTGGTTTTGATGGCAACAACTTTTTATCCATCGTGGAGGTATACGATCCCCGCACAAACACATGGGTAAAGGGTACGCCGCTGAAATCGGGTCGATCTGGTCACGCGTCGGCTGTTATTTACCAACCTGCATGTGCCAATTCATTTATGGACTACGAGGAAAGCGAGATGCCGAAGCGGGATGGCAGTAACGACGACGCCGAAACGGACTCATCACGAGATCCTTGCGGAAGCCGAAGTCCGCATTTTTCAGAGAACACACCCATGCAATTCCATACGTCATTTGGGATGAGTGGTTGTCACAATTGTGAGTCGGAAATAGATGTAAAAAATGTCGTTGCTGCAGAAACGCAAAACTATCAAAATTCCGGTATTGGCCAACAGGAGCTGCGGAAACCATTATTCTGGGGGCCAATAAAACAGTGTAAATCTAGAGGAAAGACACCGGCGCCTTGGCCAGACCCTGGAGGTTCACCAAGAATATCCAGCAATAGCTCCTCCATTAGGGAGGATAAAGCGCGAACGAGATGCATACTCAGTCCAGTACGCACAGCAGCAAAAGCTATACACTACACAATTGAATGCCGTCTTCGTAAGCTCGCAGCATCCACATGACAGTTATAATCTGAGCCGCATAGCCCAAACCAAAATCAATATTCATTGTACAAAGACTATTTCGTATCACTCAGAATTCCAGTTTTAAAAGCATTCCATTGAATCAATATTATGTGAGGATTCACGTATGTAGTTTGCACAAAGACTACACACATATGTATATGTATGTTCCCTAAGTGATATTTATGTTTTATGGCATCCATAACATTAACGGCGTATGGCAGCCCATTGTTCTAAGATTTATTAGGGTTAGTAACTAAGCTATAATACCGTATTAAATACATTTTAATGCATAACGGCCTAGTTTAATTTTACATATGTACCCCACTACAATGAAATGGGGTTTTGACCATACGATTGTTTTCGTAATATAATAAAATTGTTTCGCATGCTACTATGCATTTACAACATTTATCAATTGATTTGTAGTAGTTTTTAAGCTACTGTTTTATTTTATTTCGTGTGCATACATATACTTTTAATGGCTGTAACTTATAGACTCCTCTGCTTTCGAGGTCGCGGTGGATTCCATGAAACTGGTGTGTTATCGGTAATAGAGACTATATTTAATCCACCCATTTGCAGTCCCTTAATAGCCGACTGAAAGCAAAAATATGTAATTAGTTTTTTTATGCATGATAGGTGGAGTGTGAAAACCCACCATTCGTCCAGGCCCGAGGCCACGAACCTTCACTCGAATCGTTTTCCAACCCAATTCAATGGCTTTCTGCAATCAAAGATGTTGTATGTTTTTTGGTACATGAGTATAATATGTGTTAAATATATAATAGTAGTATTATAGCTATATAACTTGCACATTTACATGCAGCTATATAGATAAGAATATGCGAAACAACTCACTGCGCTTATGCTTACGGCCGTGGCTTGTGCGGCAATGTTCGTCCCTTTCCTGGTATTTTTAAATCCTTCTATACCGCAAGAACGTATCAGCCTAGGTACGCCTAAAATGCGAATTATAACATATATAATTATACATTACTTCATATTTGAATATATGAATATTAAATCATGCCTTTGTAGTCCGTCACTGAAATTATTGTGTTGTTGGGAGATACGCGAATGTTGCAAACAGGCAGCTCGTTGAAGGGCATTCCATTAAATAGTTGAGTGCCTATGGTTGCATCGGGAAAGAACTTTGCCTTTCTGTAAGAACGACTATTATTTATTTTTGTTATTTATTTCAAGACGCTTGGCGGCTCGTACCGGTTAATCAGTGTATCAATATCCACAGATTTTTCGCCAATAGTTCCCTCGTCCTTAGCGGGCAGCGACGCCAACATTTCCTTGCGGTCTTCTGCCTTTCTGGAGCACACGCTTGTGTGAATGTTTGAAGTACTCAATGGCCCTAAGGGCAAAGAAGCCCGCTTGGCACAGCGAACAGCACTTAAAATCACCGTTTTAATATACATTTTTAGTCTCAGCAAACATATGTTCCCGGTGGCCTACTAGTTACATCATTTAATTGCCTTGCCCCAGTCTGGCAGCACTAGACATTAAATTGTTAAAGACCCTGTCTAGGGTCACACTTTGCATATTTTTCTAATTTTTGTAGTATTTTTGACTTTTTTCAAGTATTTTCCAATATTTTGAAGAATCATTTCTTGTCCAAAGCACCACCTTACTTTATAAATATTGTAACTAAAAAGACTCCTTAAAATTTGCAAATTTTTATCCATCGGATAAAATTATATGTTAAGTGCTGAGGTAGCTAGCTAGTAACAATAAATCTAGTATAAAAATCGGGGAATATGATTTATTTCATCAGTGTCTCTGTCGAAATTTACATAAATATGTAGTTAATATGAAGCAAATGTTTAGTTAGAGTGTAGTTAACATGTAAAACATCAACTTTGCCATCAAAAGAGCATTAATTAAACCTTATTTTATGAACAATTTATATTTAAACAAGTACCTAACATAAGCGAATTTTTTAGGAAATCAATCAATTTATCGTGAAAATTATGATAATTATGATCATTTAATTAGTATTTTACTAATCCGAAAATGAAATTCGGGGAAATGGCTCCATGTATATTTTCTTCGGTATATTTTGAGAATGACAAGGTATATTCTAGTAAATTTTGTTATATTTTATCCATAAATCCGCGGTCACACTGCTTCTGCTGTTTTTGCACGTGTTCTTGAAGATCCAAATAGTTATAGTTGTAATTGTTGAAAATGGCTCTAAAACGTTTGAAGAGTAAGTAATTTGCTGTTCTTGTAGATTACAGATCATCTCATGATCGTTTATATTTCAGCTAAAAAATCAAAGCGATTGACGGGTCGTCTAAAGCACAAAATTGACAAAAAGGTACGCGAGCACAACAGGAAGGAGCGTCGCGATGCAAAGAAAAACCCAAAGAAAGGCAGCAAAAAACAAAAACTCATTCAGATACCGAACATCTGCCCATTCAAGGATGACATACTAAAGGAAGTTGAGGAAGCCAAAGAACGGCAGGAAGCCGAGCGGCAGGCTCGTCGCGATGCTTTCAAATTAGAACGAGAACAGAATAAATTCAAGTCCCTTGAATCCATGGTAGAAGACGCGGACATGCGGAGCACAGTCCATGGAGCGATGCACGAAAACGATTTGGTCGACGACAATCAGAAGAAGTACAAGAATGCAGTCACAAAGGAGCAGTCTCTGAAGCAATACTTTAAAGAATTCCGTAAGGTCATTGAAAACGCCGACGTTGTCCTGGAAGTAGTCGATGCCCGTGATCCCCTCGGAACGCGCTGCAACGAAGTAGAACGAGCCGTTCGAGGAGCACCTGGCAACAAACGCCTTGTACTTATACTAAACAAGGCTGACCTAGTACCTAGGGAAAATCTAGACAACTGGATTAAGTACTTCCGGCGTATAGGTCCAGTGACTGCATTCAAAGCATCCACACAAGATCAGGCGTCGCGCTTAGGTCGCCGCAAACTCCACGACATGAAGTCGGCTAAAGCCATGCAGGGATCGGTTTGCATTGGAGCTGAGCTACTAATGTCCATGCTGGCCAACTACTGCCGAAACAAAGGCATTAAGACATCGATTCGCGTGGGAGTTGTTGGCATCCCAAATGTGGGCAAGAGTTCAATAATCAATTCGCTCACCCGAGGAAGATCGTGCATGGTGGGCAGTACCCCAGGTGTAACGAAGTAAGTCTTCTGTCTAACTATGATTTTAATTAAATTTATTTAATGTTGGTCTTCAAATACTAAAGGGCCATGCAGGAAGTAGAACTTGATTCGAAGATCAAATTAATTGATTGTCCGGGAATTGTATTTACGAGTGGAGCTGAAAACTCGCATGCCGTGCTAAAGAACGCTCAGCGCGTGGGTGATGTAAAAGATCCGTTCACAATTGCGGAAAGCGTTTTAAAACGAGCCAGCAAAGAGTATTTCTGCTCTATGTACGATATTACAAGCTACGACACCTTTGAAGAATTCTTTGCAAAGAAGGCTGCCAGAATGGGTAAGTGCCTTGATGTTATAGCCTATTACGAACTAACATTCCGATCTATAGGAAAATTCTTAAAGAAAGGAGTACCTGATGTTGTGGCTGCTGCGCGAAGCGTGCTCAATGACTGGAACACTGGAAAAATAAAATATTGCACACAACCTCCCGAAGTAGTCGACGCGCAAAGTGTCCACATTAGTGCTTCGATAGTACACGCCGAGGCCCGCGAGTTTGATGTGGATAACTTTGAGTCCATGGAGACAGACATACTAGAACAATGCACTGTAAAAACAGATGACGTTATGGAGATTGCATGTACCGGTTCTCTGGAGATTAGGAAACCTCGCGATGAAGATGATACGTCGACTAATATTTCAACAAATCTAGTTATCAACGAGAAGGACAAGTTGTTGAAATCTCGTAAAAGAAAATTGGGTGATGAAAAAGAAAAACCAGATCCCGAACTGCTTTTAGAAGGTACTTATTTTGTAACAATTTATCGTAACAGTAAATTAGTAATGTTTTTTACACAAACTCTTGTCTTCAGAAAATCAATCGATCAACAAATCTATTAAAGAAGTGCAGAAACGAAAGAAGAAGCAAAATGTGCGCAATGAGAAGAAAATTTCAAAAATTACAGATGTTCTGGATAACTTTAGCCTGAGTTCGGGTCCATCTACTTCAAAGGCAGATAAATATGATTTCGATAAGGATTATGTAATTGAATAAATTATCTGCATTATCCAATATAATAAATAAGACTACGATCTGGGTGACATTTTATTCCTCTACTATCACTGAAAATGATTTCTTCAATTCCATCGTTTTCCAAACATGATTCGCAAAATCTTTCATTGAAAAAAACGTCGAGTTTTGTAAATATATTGAAATTGCATTACAATATGTTGAAACTTAACAGTGTAACTGCTGTGATTATATATTTGATCATATTTAAGCTATGGTACATCTGTCTAATTAAAATTTAAAAGACAGTGGAAAAATCAGCTCAGGTTTTTTACTTAATCTATTATACAATTCGTTAGACTCGTGTCTTAAATTATTTAGATTTAAATGAAGCCCATTTTTTTTTGTTACCTGTTCTTTAACACACTGAGTCTGAGTCTAGTTTCTAAATGACTGCGGTACATGCACATGGATAAAATACTAATTCTAGCGCACGGATTTTAAATGTCACACCCAATGCTCATATTTACATTTCTGGGATCTAGAAATGCAACTGAAACTAACGACATTTAAACACGAATAGACTTTAGATAAAATCCAAATCTGCCAGCTAGACAATTTTCTATCATAGGCTATTATGAAATTGGTCGGATGAATGGGACGCACAGTAGTACAGTGGTTGGCTCGGTCCACTGTATATAGCTTCCATAGGAACAATTTATAAAGAAACCAACCAAAAGTTCACGTGTTAGATTTTTAAGGGAAGGTCTACTGCTATCGGTAAATGCTATGAAAATAAAAATCGTCAAAATATCAACATAAAATAAAAAAATGTTTGAATATGACGTTCGCTAGCTCCAAAGCAATTCTATCCGTATGCGCTAGAATTTGGGATGGAAGCTAATGTGTACCTATGTACATATGTATGGTTGTATATGCAGTTATACTAAACTCTTGTATATTTAAATACTATTTTATCTCATTTGACTGGGGTAGAGGATTCAAAAAGTGTGTATAAGTATATGTATGTATGTACAATGTACATTTGCTGCTCAAGATCGGATCTTGATTTGTTTCTAGTTAAATTGAATGGGCGCAATATGTCTATATGTACATATGTATGTCTAGATAATTTAAATATTTATATATGTTTGTCATATCTACTCGCATAGACCTCTGGACCTATGCTTCAGTACATACATATGCACTATGTGTGTATATTTAGAGTGAATCACAGTATTTAAATTTTAGCTAAATATGTTTAACAATCATTACTATATATTTACTTAAGTTCAAGCTCACCCACTCCTAGACTCCTCCCTTAATGCGAATCTAATGATTTATAGCTTAATTTCGATGTGCCTACTTGCAGTTAATTGAAACATTTTAAGTAGCTATTAAGTAAACATTTTTAATGATTTATTTGCAGTCCTTTGTGGTTCCAAATTATTGGTTGTTTAATGGCTTATCGGTAGCTCGGTACACACAGCTCCAAGCTCTTCGTTCCCGTGGTTCGATCTGTAACCAGCCAAATTTTGCCACAGCTTGGTTAATAACATTAACACTTTGCGCAGCAGTTGGCGCGAGCGTTGCAAGTCTCTCTCTCTCCGCCAGGAACTCTGTTGGTCAGAGCAAAGAGGCTCGGCCAAAAAGGGCGCTGCTAGTGAAATTACTGCCGTAAGGGCCAGCAGCAAGTATTGTCACCGTAGGTGGCTGAAGTGCACTTCCAGCCAGCAGGGACAGCCCATGATGTCCTGCCGTTTGTATGTATGACCCCAGCCCTTGACGAAGCTTATTTTCATGCTAAATCGGTCGATAGGTCCCAATGGATGATTTTGAGACCGTTTTGTGATTAACAGTTGAGCCCTATAACAAGAAAAATTTAGGACATTGTTTTTATATATGACGGAATCAAATTCTTTTCTAACCTGGTAGTTTCGAAGGCCTTCAGACAGTACCCAGGCATTACTTTACAAACACGGTCCAAATGTTCGGCTAGTGTCGGAGAGTCTACAAAGATTGGCACGTTACCTCGATTGTAAATCCAAACATCGCCACTTTCAAGGCTTAACGTAACTCCTGAAATGTACATAAATATCATTTAAAAAGCCGTCGCATAGAATTTCACATTTTTTTACCTAGCCCAACTTTTTGTCGTGTATTTTGGACAGCTTCAGAGTGAGGTCCCTTGCCCACGGAGGTTAGCTCGCGGAGGCACATGCTATCTCCACCACTGTCCACAATCCCATCTGTGTAGATATTGACTGTTGTCTTTCTAGCGTGAAAGAACTCTCCAACGCGATGAGAATGCTCCCAATAAGCAATTTGGCACCAGCCCTTGGTGTTGACTGTGTCACCTGCAATATAAGGGAGGAGCCAATTAAATAAAGATGTGCATTTTATCTAATGATCGTAATGATAGACTAAAAAAAACATGACAAAACAAGATAGACTAAATGCAAATTGATACCTTTCTAACGTTTGAACCCTTATTTTCTATTATACTACATCTTGGTTTTTCATTAGATAAGCCATTAGCCTGTAGGACATTTTTTACACTACTAGCTCTCTTTCACTTTTTTAATTACCTATCTTATATTTTATATGTATGTGTAGTAACAGTCTCAAGTATGTACATATTAATACATACACACGTAGAATTAACCCAGCCTGGAAACTCAAAGAGTATATGGGTATATTTATTAGTTTTGTGTGGATGTGTGTAACAGCCAGAAGGAAGTAAAGTAAAGTCCTCACAGTATATATGTTCATAAATATAATATATTCTGTCTGTCTGCCTGTCCGCCTTAATGGTCGCTTAGATCTTAGGGACCATAAGAGTTGGAGCAACCTAATTTTGTGCTAAGACTCGTGTGATTTGTACTATTAAAAGTGGACCAGAAGAGATTATTATAGCAAGTGGATAAGTGGCTAAAGTATTTGTTTTCAATACAATAAACTTTATTATATTATAGGATAATGGTATAGAACAAAATGGATCCATTTTTACTTCAAAGTCAATATCTGGCTGATCAAAATAAGTGTAATAGCATGTTATTCCATAACATATTTCTAACATATTAAACTATCTAACAAAAAAACGAAAAAAAGCTTCAATCTCGGCTAACGGTTTATTTTTAACTTTTATTAACCTAGAAATTTTTTCCCGTGCGAATGTGATTTTATTTAAATTTAATAAAAAACGAGAAGGAACGTGTGAGTCGTTTCTGGGGACACGACTCTACTTATACCCGTACTCAGTCAGTATATACATTATTGAGCTTATGATTTTTTAGAATTTTAGAAAAAAAAAAAAAATTTTCCATATTACATTTTTTTGCTACATCTGCTATCTACATCTACATATACAATGTCTATTCTACATCTCCTCCGCTAGGGGTTGCTCGCGCACTGAACGCGGCAGAGTGTGCGAGCGAGAAGGAAAATGAGCTGCGTTGTCTGGAACGGGAGGGGGAGGGGAAGCAACTGAAAATGAATTTCTTCATTCTGGCTATAATTATGATCCGATCTGATTCAGATTCGTCAATCTGGTAGATATGGGCATTCCCTAACGATACTGCGTTTTAGTTTTATCGTATCTTTAAAACTGTGCCTGCCACAGATTTTCGTCCCTTTGTGTGGGCGGAAGGGGGCGGGGGTTTTGAATACACTTGTCAGCGTGATATCACATGAGTCTGGAAACCAAATTTGGTTGCCCTAGCTCTTATAGTCTCTGAGATCTAGGCGCTCAACAAGACAGACAGACGGACAGACGGACAGACAGACATGGCTATATCGACTCGGCTATTGATGCTGATCAAGAATATATATACTTTATGGGGTCGGAAACGTTTCCTTCTCTGCGTTACACACATCCACTTTTACCACAAATCTAATATACCCCTTAACTCTTTTTTGAGTACGGGTATAACTACGGAATATATATTTTTTTTTTTAATAATATAGGTTTATTGTAAGCAATTATCACAGACAATAAAGTAAAAATTACTTAACGTACTGTTACTGTTGGTTAGCAACTTTTTTTAAGGGTCAAGGACAATTTCTATTTACTATTTACTATTTTAAGTTGAATGCGGGACCAACGGACGAAAACGGAGATTGTGCAACAGGAATTTATATGTTCCTGGTGGCCAAGTCGGACGGATGGATGCGGTTTAACCTTCGCCTAGTTCTGCTCCTTACCAATCTTCTAGCGAGGACGTTCGGGTGGCTAATTAGTTTGGTCAAGTATCTTGTGGCCTGCTCGTTAATAATGTCACCGACTGAGGGGACTCCAAGGTCTTTGGCGATGTCTCTATTACGGACATACCATTCAGTACCACAGATCTTTCGGAGGGTCTTGTTCTGAAACACCCTGATCCTGTCAAGGATCGTTTTCGCTGCGATACCATAGACCTGGATGCCATACTTCCCTGCAGGCGCCAGGATTACCTTGTATACGCGGATCTTGTTTGCCAGGTTTAGCTTGTTGTTAGGCTTAAGAAGCCAGTAGAGTTTTCTAGTCTTGCTTTCCAAGGCGCTTCTGACCATCCTTGTGTGGCTGGCAAAGGTCAGGCGGGTGTCCAGCGTCATTCCCAGGTACTTATGTTCCTTCCGCTGCTCCAATAGCTCGCCATGCAGAAATAACCCGGGGCACGTTCCTTTCCTAAGCGTGTGTGTCACAACCACACACTTCTCAGGGTTCACACTGACATTCCACCTACATGCCCAGTTCTCAAACCTTTTAAGCTACCGGTTAAGGTTGTCCGTGGCGTCGTAAACGCAATTGGCCCTTGACAGGACTGCCGTGTCGTCGGCAAATGTGGCATGTTTCACATCGATTGGCTTGGAAGTATGTGAAAAGGCTGTACAGCGTTGGCCCTAGCAAGCTGCCTTCCAATAATCAGAAACAGCTGGGGGTTTTATCTTCGCAAGTAATCCGTCGTGCCAAACTCGATTTACTCGATTTAGCTCGATTTACGGATGGGCTGTCCAATAATCTGCGAAGAATGCTTCGCTCCAGGAGCATCCCCAAAAGTGGGGAGCAGGCTGATTGGCCAGGTCGTCCGGGGATTTGCCGGGCTTAGGCAGCATAACAACCTGCGCGGCTTTCCATGCTTTGGGGAAGTTTCCCAACCTCAGCGTTGCATTCAGTATTTGTAACCCCCCCAAAACCCCTACCATATATGTCCGTGCAAATGGTTTGGTTTTTTAAAAAAATCTCGAAAACGAATAGTTTACCAAAATCGACCTTAGCACCAGGTATATAGGGTTAGGCACAAAGTGTGTCTTAAAGGTAAAATAATTTGAAAATCCATTTTATTTTTACCTTTCTACCACTTGTAATGCGTACGACTGCCCCGTTCGACTTCAAAGAAATGTCCATAATCACAATCAGAGTGGCTAGCTGAGTCGCTATACTCGTACTCGTCTTTAGGCCTTTTTAAAACTAGATAAAACAGATATTTTGTATTATTTGTAATCTGGAACTACAAATAATTGGATCTCTATATCATGCAGCTTGCTGTTTTATTGGTAAATATGTACATGTGTCTGTACATAACTCAGCCAAACACTAGTCATCACAACTACGTACATTTGTATGTACATAACAGGCTGCCTTTAGGGACTGCAGGCGCGCGCTCAATGCCGCCATAAAGGAGAGCAATCGCAATTGATTTCTAGGAATTTGCGACTCTGCCGAACACGACCCGTGGGGAAGAGCATACAGGTTGGTGGCGAACAAAATGGGCGGCAAAAAGTGGGCAATCCCATCGGAACCCGTCTTGGTCAGATCCATTGTGGAGGAGTTCTTTCCGCGCATGGCGGGCTAATCAAGCAGACCCCTAGCCCGCAGGAAACTCCAAATTAGGCTTCCATTGAAGAGGTGACGATCGAGGAGGTGAGAGCAGCAGCCAGGAGCATTAGCCGGAACAAGGCGCCAGGCCCAAAAACAAACCCAAATAGAGCGCTCATCATTGCCTGAACTGCAATTGCCGCCATTCGGTGAAAGGGTGGCAGTAAAGAGTACGCTTGGTGGTCACATTAGACATCAGGAATGCATTCAACACAGCTCGGTGGAACTACATCCTGATGGCCCTGAAGTCTTCAATATACCAAGGTACCTACAACGAATGGTACGAAGCTATTTTGAGAGGAGGCTGCATCTGTACGAACCGCAGGCCGGCACGGAGCAACACGAGGTGTCTGGTGGCATGGGGTACGACAGGGGTCAGTGCTGGGCTCCTTACTCTGTAACGCGATGTTCGACGGCATCTTGTGTCTTAGGCTCCCCCAACGAGTGCATGTGGGGGGCTTCGCAGACGACGTGGACCTTCTGGTGGTTGCGAAAGAGTCGACGGTGGTGGAGCCGACCTGCAACCTTTCAACCAACCCAGCAATGGCTGGAAGCAAGTGGGACTTGAGCTCGCACCTCACAAGACGGAGTCAGTGTTGGTGTCCAGCATCACAGTCGGAAACTATTCCGAACCTGGTGCCGTTCATGCTCCAGTCTCCGGACCACTGGGAAGCGAATCCATTATGACAGAACTGCGCGCTGTTGAGCGCGAGAGAAGGGAGCAGATAGTCTAGGCGACGCATTCGCATGTGTGAAGCAATGCTTTACGGCCGTACCACACATGAAGGGCTTGCCCAGTCATATCCATAAATATATTTGTATAATAAATGAATTAAAACAAAAAAATGTATATCTAACATAACGTTTGGATATTACCAATCTATATACCAATAACGGAAGATATAGGATCGCCAGCCCTGCAAGGGTATCTATAGCATCGGCATGCCTTACTGCTGTTTTTCTCCGAGAAAGAATACCCTCGGCAACGGCATAATAATGGTTTACATTTTTGTTTATTTCTATTTTCAACTGGCTTGTCACCAAATCGTCGTGAAGCCGCAACTTAACGGTCCATTTAAATGTAATAGTTCTCCGTCATTTTGTCGCCAGTATATGCCATGAAAAATCAAATACACATTTAACATACACATACATATGTATATGTATATGTATATGTGGGCACACAGACACTGCATATTCTGGCCAGTTTCACTGTACCGTCGTCCGACGACGCCGTCGGGTGGGCAATGAATGCCATGAAATGAATGATATCATAGCCCCCATTGACGTGGATGTACAGGGGCGCCAAGTCCTCCCCGGCACCCCGCACTCAGACCGTTCTACAACACTCTTGTAAGCAGGCGCAAAGATTGTTGTTGGCTGGCTCGACGCCGCCAGCTCACCTCGCTCCGCCGATCAGTCGTATTTGTTGGTGTTTGTTTTTCGCTCATTATTTATTTTCATTTCGCTTTTGCTGTTTTCGCTTAAAAGTTAATATCAATATAGAAAGTGACGACCTGACGCGGCAGCCTGGCGCCACGAACAACTTGTCCTCTGTCGCGGCCGGCGTCACAAACACACGCACGCGAGCGCAGATGTTTCGGGTAATCTCTGTAGGCATATACACACATATGTATGTACAATCGTAAATATACGAGCAAACTCTCAAATTGAAATAATCAGCCGACCCAAGCCCTCCGATAAGAGAGAACCGTGCTCTAGTGTCGTAGTGTCGTAATGGCCAAAAAAATCTCACCTTTTCCTTCAGTGGTAAAAGACTCTAGACTGGGGACCAGAAACTGCGATTCCGCTCGCTTGAAGGTGCTGCTCGAAAAGCTGTTGCTGTGTACGCTCCACGTGGCCGCTGCTGACTTTCCGTCGTTTTGCGAGTCTTCTTCCTCGGAATCTGAAAGGGCGAAACTCTCAATTGTTGTCGGGATTGGGATTCTCGACTAAGCCGCTGCTACTCACACTCACCTGCATCTTTCAGTCGCAGCATTTTTGATCGTTGGTATGGCGGAAGGGAAGACTCTGAAATTGCATTAAGACAATGGATGTTACTAATGCTGCCATAGGACCGATCAATTAGCAAGCCAAGGAGGTGGAATGATGCGGCTCACGAAACTAGTTTTGGTTTCTTGTTTAACTTTATTTTCAATTGATTTCAACCAAGTATCCGTGTAACTGTAGAAGGGCAAAACTAAAATCGAATATCCTTGCCTATTGATTTTTACACAATTTTTAGCTACTCAAAACTTCGGGTTATACTACGTACATACATATGTACATACACATTTATATGCCAGTCTTTGGGACGGGTCGTGTGATGAGATCATGGTTCACAAACCTAATACATACTAGTATTCTAATATTCGTTCAGCAAACCCAATCCAATGCGAAGCTAAGCAGAAAACACCAACAGCAACATCTACAAAAACAATACGCAACAGAAACAAAAGTTAAGCGCAGGCAAGCCAAACATCAGCGTCGCGAAATAAAAATAAATAATCTTTTCCTATCGGACAGCAGCACAGGGGAGGGGACATTTTATTGGCCCAGAAATCGTTTGATGTGCTGCGGTCATCGTCATCGCCGACGTTGTATTCAATCTTGCTTACATTCTACCATGTTTTTATTCTTTCACCTTTTAATACGAATGGAACAGGTCGTGGAATGTTTGATGTGAAAGGATGCATGTGTACATATGTATTCATATTAATAATAATAATAATAATTCAATTATAATTGAACTGATTGATAATGATCTTATCAGTAAATATGATACAAGATGAGTCTACAGAAACTATATAGAGTGGAAATACTTTTTCAGTTTTTAAAGATTAATAAAAGTCTCTGGAATGAATGGAAGACTAGCCATTTCCTTTCTATTGCTCTGCGAGAAATAATCAGAAAGCGCATGGATGAGCTTCGGGAACGAACCTTTCCTAAGCCGATTTTGAAGACTGTCTATTTAATATGAATCGTTCAAGTTTCTGTTTCCCTGCTGCAGTAAATAAATCAGCGCTCACCTTATCGGAAACTCATGTTTTTTGGCTTTTTAATATTTACACCATGGAACATCATTTTTCAGAAGATCAATTAATTTAGATCCCGAAAGGATAGAGCCCTTATTTCCTTGAACCGAGATACAGTGCACATTACACACACAATCCTAAGATTAGCTCCAGCAATTAAAAATTACTATATTTTTTTCCGTCCAAATCATGGTTGTTTTGCTTCTACAGCTCAACAGCTTTTGATTTGATATTGGTCAAAATATAGGTCACAATAACGAGAAAGAACGTTGTGAGTGGCTTCTGTGGACGCGACTCGGTAAATATATAAATATGTGAGCTTATGATCAATGCAGAATTTTAAAATATTTTATATTTAAAATTTTGTTGCTACATTTAAAATCTAGACTCTACATCTCTGCGAAAGGTCGCGCACTGCACAGGGCAGAGTGTGTGCGAGCGAGAAAGAGTAAAAGTAGGCTCTGCTGCGCAGAGAGGGGCGGGGTAAGCAACCGAAAATGAATATTAATTGATCAAATATATATACTTTATGAGGTCGGAAACGTCTCCTTCTGTGCGTTACACACATCCACTTTGACTACAAAATGTATAATGGCTGCAAGTCTGGGAGCATGTTTGATTTTGAGTAGTATCGCTTTAAAGTTTAAATAAATAAAATAAAATTTAAAATTCAAATGCGTCTATATTAGGTTGAGCCAAAAAAATGTTTTTTTTGCTGAATAAGTTGGATAATTTAGTGAAATATATTGCATACTCGTATATGTTGATACCATTAATATTGGCAGTAAAAAACCTGCACAAGTTTTTGCGAACTTGTTAACTAAATATATCAACGTCAGCTGAACTTACTAATTTACACCAATCGTTTATTTTTTCAAAGTAACTAAAAAAAAAAATAAAAACACAGTATTATCAATAAGAACTAGTTTCTAAGTTTCAATATTATTTGAAAAAAACCGACGAATTCAATTTTTGTTTTTATACCCGTACTCAAAAAAGAGTTAAGGGGTATATTAGATTTGTGGTAAAAGTGGATGTGTGCAACGCAGAGAAGGAAACGTTTCCGACCCCATAAAGTATATATATTCTTGATCAGCACCAATAGCCGAGTCGATATAGCCATGTCCGTCTGTCCGTCCGTCCGTCTGTCCGTCTTGATGAGCGCCTAGATCTGAGAGACTATGCTAGGAAACCAAATTGGTTTCCAGACTCATGTGATATCACACGCTACAAGTGTTTTCAATTCGCCCCGCCCCCTCCGCCCACACAAAGGACGAAAATTGGGGGCACATTTTAGATACGTACCGCAGATCGTAGAGATGCCCACACCGATTGCCGAACTGAACTAGACGGATTATATTAAGCCAGAATGAGAAAATTAATTTTCTGTTGGTTCTCTCCCCCCAGCGCTGCTGACGCTACAATCCTCCGCCGCACACGCCGCGTTCAGTGCGCGGCAACCCAACGGGGGAGTAGAATATAATGGTACATGTACACTACAGTTAGATGTGGATATACATTGTAGGTAGATGTAGATACAGATGTGAGTAAAATGTAAATTTTTTTTTTATTTTTAAATTCTAAAAAATCATAAGCTCAAAAATGTATAACTGCGGGGGCGCCCGGCACGCCCCGTTTAATGTTACAAAAAAAGGAGGACGGGAGGCGGACGCCCTGAGCGAAAGGTATTTTATTTTTTTTATACGCTACTACTACATATACAGTCTACTACACTAACATGTAGATTGTACTGTACCATTTATATTCTACACCCCGCTGGGGCCGCGCACGAACGGGGGGGGCGGGGAGGGCGTTGCGTTGGCGGGAGGGGGGGGGGCCTGATCTCATCGGCTATTAGATCCGAGAGATGGGCGGGTGGCCCGAGCGTAGTTTGGGGATTGGTCCCGGCAGTTACGTACTGGCCGCCTCGTCTGGGGGGGGGGGGGGCCGGGGCCATGTGGACCTTGGTGCCCTAGCCTAAGCTCTGAGATCTAGGCGCTCAACAAGACAGACAGACGGACAGACAGACATGGCTATATCGACTCGGCTATTGATGCTGATCAAGAATATATATACTTTATGGGGTCGGAAACGTTTCCTTCTCTGCGTTACACACATCCACTTTTACCACAAATCTAATATACCCCTTAACTCTTTTTTGAGTACGGGTATAAAAACGTGTATTTTCGTTTGGGCGTAGCAACATTAAACTAAAGATTTGAATTGTATAATTTTATTTACTAACAAAGAAAAAAATAAGGGGGTGTCTGCTTGAAAAAACAAAAAAAAAATGTTCATCAATTTTTGGCCCAGCCTAATCTACATAAATATATATATATATATACCCAAACATAAATCTTGTGTCACGGTGTTTGTGGTTGAACTCCGTTTGTGGCTTGACCGATTCTTATGAAATTTTTGTTCTATACATAGTTCTGCGAATAGGTCGTACGGTATTTTAGATTTGTGGTAAAAGTGGATGTGTGTAACGCAGAGAAGGAAACGTTTCCGACCCCATAAAGTATATATATTCTTGATCAGCATCAATAGCCGAGTCGATATAGCCATGTCTGTCTGTCCGTCTGTCTGTCTGTCTGTCCGTCTTGTTGAGCGCCTAGATCTCAGAGACTATAAGAGCTAGGTTAACCAAATTTAGTTTCCAGACTCATGTGATATCACACTGCTACAAGTGTGTTTCAAAATTTCGTCCCGCCCCCTTCCGCCTCCATAAAGAACGAAAATCTGTGGCAGGCACATTTTTAAAGATACGATAAAACTAAAAATGCAGTATCGTAGAGAATGCCCAAATCTACCAGATTACCGAATCTGAATCAGATCGGATAATAATTATAGCCAGAATGAAGAAATTAATTTTCTGTTGGTTCTTCCGCCCCCTCCTGCCAAAACCAAGCTCATTCAACTCATTCTCTTTCTCGCTCGCACACTCTGCCGCGTTCAGTGCGCGAGCAACCCCTAGCGAAGGAGATGTAGAACATAAATGGTACATGTACAATCTACATGTTAGATGTAGAATATACATTGTATATGTATATGTAGATAACAGATGTAGCAAAAAAATTTAAAATGTAAAATTTTTTTTTTTTTCCAAAATTCTAAAAAAATCATATGCTCAAAAATGTATATACTGACTGAGTACGGGTATAAGTAGAGTCGCGTCCCCAGAAGTGACTCACACGTTCCTTCTCGTTCATCTTCATATCACCCATTTTAATCGCGATATTAGTTTTTGGATCAAGTACATTTTTGTGTTATTTGTCAGTGTGTTTTGTTCTCTTTTCACTGTGTCATAACCTAATATTTACTGTATTTATTACGTTTTTGAGAATTTAGTTTATTTTGTGTTACACAGTGAAAAATGACAGCAAGACGCAAGGTGGCCCGGTTAGACCGTCTTACATTTTGCAACATTGAGCAGAGAGAACAGGCGAAAGAATCAAACAAGATAACGAAAATGTGCGTGAGGGCATGTCCCAATTGCGTGAAACTCAATCCCAAGAGGTACGAAATAAACAAAAACAATTGGAACGGAGACCGGTTGCACCGGTACATAATTGATAATATCATGAAAATTACCAAAGCCAACAAGTTCATAGAGCATTTGCATCTGCTTCGTTTCATTGTCTCGCATTCGAATACAAGCCAGATATGGAATATTCCGCTCATCAGAAAGTGTTGATTGGTGCTAAGGACAAAGAATGTCCCCATTGTCACGAGCTCAAATATAAACATGAGTCAAATTGTATGTGTTGCGCATCAGGAAAAGGGCAACTACCTGAAACTGAGTTACCACTGATTTTTTTAAATTGTTCCTTTTCGGCCAATGATTTCCGCTAACGAACCGTTATTTGATCCTTCCGCCAGAAGTATAGAAAATTAAAGTTTGTTAAGCCACAAAAGGCAAGACCCAAAAGGCAAGGCTGGGAAAGGAAAAGGCTTTATGCCTACAGTAATCAAATCGAAATGTGGTCTGTTGGGATAAGTCAAGTCTTCCAAACCGGGGTCCCTCGGTTCTAAACCTGGGCTTTAACAAATCTTTTTTTTTTTTAAGAAATTCTTTTTTGTTTTGTTTTTCTTAGGCAAATTTTGTTTTTACGCACACGAACGATTGCTTTGCTAACCACCCATCAGAAGCCCGCAACCAGCCAAACTGATGTTTAGCCTGTAGGGTGCATTGCCGGCTCCAACAAGTTTATTTATTTTGTCACACACCTCCTTTCAAAAATATCATCTAGCGAAGCCGCCGCGGGCTTGCTAGTTTGCAAATACAATTAATTCATGCTTCCAAAAGCGTCGTAGCAACAGAAATAGACAACAATACTGCGGCAAATGGTCAACAATACAATTCCACATTTAACATCAAAGGACAAGTGTACTACAAAGTAGGCTTAGCCAGACGCATGGTTGGAGAGCTGGACAATCTACTGAATCAGCACAATGAATTATTGAAATTATTAAAATCACACATGCATAGATTGGAAAGTGACAATAACGGTATTGTCATCAATCCTGATTAAATAACCCAGATGATCAGCACGTGCGTTGTTGACAACGTTGCTGGGTTCATGGTTGGCGACCGCACGAAACATTCTCAAAACAATTATTAGATATAGGTGATGAAGAAGTTGCTACTAATGAAAATACTGTCTGTATAAAATGGCCAATAGAAATCTTCACAGTTTTTGGTTCGCAAAATGCTCTTTAAAATGCGATTTATAGTTCAAGATGGAGCTGTTGTTGCTAGGCCAATTGGTATCATATAAAGCGATCGAAGCGATGAAAACGAAATTGTAAATCATTAAGCACAGATTTTGAACTCAATAGATTTGCTAGGCATGCCACAACACGTTCTGGTATGACTGAAATTATTTAGAGCAATCTGCTTTAAAAAATATTACAGTGGACGATGAAAAATCCAGGGTACCAAAATGTACATATACAGCTCCTAAATTTTTCGAATCTTCTAGGTTATTCCAGAAAGCGCAGCAATTTCCTTACAATTACACACACTGAAATATGATGGGCCCGATTAGATTAACATTCGAATTCATGTGGCCGTACTTCTTTAGGGCCGGTTGAGAAATATATACTCATGCTTGCATGTACATACATACATATGTACATTGCATAATTTGAATCATAAGCTTATGCAGTTTAAGCTGCATAGCGATCCTAAAATGATCCGCTCCCTTTTGATCCTTCAAGGAGCTTGATATATAAAGTCTATATATTCATCATTCATATATATGCATCAATAGCCGAGTCGATATAGCCATGTTCGTCTGTCTGTCAGTCCGTCTTTCGGTTTTTAGTGATTCGGGGTGATTCGAATCTGACTGAAGGCAGGACTCGTAATGATCAAACGCATTGAAGTGCTATGAGTGCCATTATGTGATTTTAGTATAGTATATACATATAAACATTCAAATATGTACGTAAGTACATACATATGTATGTATGTATGTTTTGTATAAAAGCGTTAGTTGTGCATGCGCGTGCTAAAAATAAAAACAAACAAATCAGAAAATACATTTGTATGAATGCTTGTACACGTACATAAATATACATACACATGCATAGTGCGAGTGGGATGTACATAGTTCGAGTACAAGTACGCGTAAGTAGCGCATCGGGCACCGTTTGCGTTAGCGACGCCTGATTATTTCCTGGCGCCAGTTTCTAATTTTACACAAATTATTTTCAAAAGAATTTTGTCGCCGTCATGTTGGCCGACCGTTTGCGTGGCGCTTTCACGCATATTCTCTTCCATTTCGCCTTCGCGTACTCTCGCACAAACTCACACACGTACATTATTCCACAGAGAGCACATGATAAAGCGCAAATAAACCCACACAAACGTAAGAGAGAGGTTGGTTGGATGGGGATCGCGAGAGTTTGTAGGTCTGCACTATGGGAAGTTTGACCACTTTTTCTGGCCAAAACCCATTTTTCAAAAGTAGTTAAAATAATATATTTGTAGACCTCATATATCCGAATAACATTGATCTTTAATCTTTAAAGTCAGCTGTTTGTTATCGCTAGGTGTTGGTGCAAAAAGTTATTTTTTCATCTTGTAAAAAGGGCTAAAAAGTTAAAAATTCATAAATTTAAGTGCTTTCTTTACAATGTGTTCGATTCAGACAGGTATATAATATATGTTTATGAGTTTGAACTGTACAAATTTCACTCATAATTTTGGTTAATGACTCATTTTTTAACAAGTATAAATTAGTGACAAAAATGTGTCTTTGAAGAGGCGTACAAAAAAAGTGACCACTCCTGGAACCATATGACTTAATGCATCTTGTAGAAAATTTAATTCTTGTTCAAAAGTATATCATGGTTATATGCGCTTGGGTGCGTCTTCTATGCAATCTTGATTCTTAGACAAAAACATTAGGACTGCAGGAACGCAGGAACGGTAAAATGTGATTTTTGGAGGGTTGTTCAACCATTTTTAGCTGAGTCATTTCTACATCGATTTTTATGAACAATACTTCGAACGACGCCTAATTGATGCATCTACACAGAAAAAATATAAGAACAAAGGATACGATTTGTTTTCGACTTTTCTTGAGTTTTTAAAGTCAAAATTAAAAAAAAAATACTGAGCAAAACCGATCAATTTTGCATTTGAAAGCTTAATATTTCCCAGACGGTAAGCTGAAGCTACATGGTGCTCAGGTCTGCTTTATAGATGCACTTATCAGCTTTTCAGAATGTCAAAGTTTATTGCAACCAAATGAAATATACTTAAGTAATGTGCTAAATAAAAGAGCTACCTCTGAAAAAAGCAATAAAAAAAATACCAAAAAAAGTTCGATTTGGTCGAGTAGTGATATTGACCGATATCCTTGATTTTCAATGACTGCGACAGTTCACAAAATCCTAGTGCATTCAAGCGATATAAAGTAAAACAAGATTCTTTCTGTGGGATAAGTGTGTATAAAATTTTATATTTAAAATGAGGCCGAAAAGAAAATTTCACGGACGTTTTCCATACTTCAGATACTAGAATCTCATCTGTTAACTTTGAAAGCAGCACACAAATGCAAAAAATATCCCCTTCCAACTAAGGTGTTCGGTTTATTATCAAGCGAGTTCAATCGTTCAGGCAGAGATCCACCGGAGCAGATTAGTTTCGATGAGCTGGCTGAAGATCAACTCGAATTCTCGTGGATGATGGAGCTCGAAAACGAACTCCATGAGGATTAACTATAGGTGTGATAGAAAACCTATTATTTACAATAAAATTGTATATCTTTTATATTTCAGGTCTCCTGATTAAAATTTTTGTAATAAAGCTACCCAAAATAATAATTTTTGATTTTTTTAAATTGTTTTTAAGGCCACGCCACGCCCTCTTGAATAAAATAAAATGTTCTCAACATGTTCCCAAAATGTTTGTTTTTTTACTTTTTGAGCAAAAAAATGAAAATGTGATTTCTTTATAAAAAAAAAAGTAGTTGCCACGCCCTTTTTTTTCAAAATACCTTCATTTTGCTATTATAAACTCATATCAAAAAACTAAACCAAAAAATGTTGTTTCGTTTGGAAGTTATTCCACAAAACGTGGTCAAATTTCCCATAGTGGTCTGGGCAAAAAGTCAAGGCGCGCAGTGAGCGCAGGAACTTGAAATTCAATTTTCTTTGAGAGCAATTCAATACCTAATACAGAGACGGACCGGTTACACTACATATTTATGTACACATGTACATATGTATGCATGCATGTGTTTGGCGCCACCAAATACACAGAACAGAACACAGTCGTGGTCGACAGTATTGGGGCGCCGGCACCTGGTAGACGTATTTGTATGGTTTGTCGTTCTCTCGTATGAAAATTGTAAATCGCTGGGCCAAAACAGTGTTTGGAATTTTCCAAATGGATTTTATTTATGTAGCATGTTCCTTGTGGAACAGGTGTATAAGCCGGATAGGTATTTTCCCAAACATAATGTACTTTAACCCGCAAAATTTATCTCACACTAACTATGTATGTTTGTGTTTATTTGTCTGGAAATGTATACATACATACATAAATGTGTATGTATGTATATACATAGATATGTAGTTCAGACAAGCCTAATGAAAGAGCCTGTTTAGGTGGATGGTGGGTAACAACTACACAACCGAAATCTCAGACTCTTGAGTCCTCCAATAGCCTTGGCTTGGTCAATCCTACCTGTATCGTTGAAGTGGATCATGCGATACCAGTGCAGTGGATTGCAACATGTGTACACGCAGTCTCGTGCGCTGGGACAGGCGGGCAGGCGTTTTAGCTCCACGCCGTTCCTGAGGCTGGGCCAAAAGAAGAGGCGACACGCGGTCAAGTGCTGCTCCTTGTCGGCTGGCGAAGTTGTACACTTGATCAGAATGCACTGCAAGAAGGTTGGCGGGGTGGCAATGACGGCATTGATGTTTGACTTTTTTGAGGGGTGATCCACTCGGCTTTTGACGGCACGCAAAAGCTCGGACTGTTGCTTCGGCTTGAGCAGCTTCATCAGGGCATCGAAATCTTTTCGATTGCGCATCTCCGGCGTTGTTAGCGTGGCTCCCGTCGTCCAGGAAATGGTCGTCCGCTGGGGGTGCGATGGTTTCGTGAATGGAATTGTGTGGTCTCGGCTCCAGCAAGTCGAGCCACTGCTGGCCTCCGCTGCATGGCCACCGGCGCCACAGCAGTTGCGAAACATGTTCGCCGCAGTCGTGCGAAAGGTCATCGCACTCGTCACAGAACGGGGCGACGTTGAGGTCTGATGGTGCATTTGATCGTTTTCGTCGATCAACATATCGTCGCCAGAGCTTACGCAGCTGCATCCAGGTTTCGTATAGCTGAAGTCCGAGTCTTCTGTGGCAGCGGGCGTGGGTGATGGTGATCCCAACGTATCCGCACGTGGTACTAACTGTTGTGTGTAGTTTAGTAGTGGGCGGGGGAGGCGGCAGTTGTTGGCGTTGGTGTTGGTATTGGGGTAGGGGCTGCCGTTGGTGTTCTTCTGGCAGTAGGAGCCGCAACAGTCTGTGGCGTAGGGAATCGAATTGTATGGTGGCGGGGGTGTTTGTCGCATCGGTAGGGAGGTTTCCTCGCAAAAGAAGCTGCTGCTGCCAAACGAGGGACCCCGCAGCATCTGAAGGCGGTGTCGATGTGGAGGGGGCGGCGGCTGTGGTGGCTGTGTGGGTCCTGGCACCCCATCGCACGCACCCGGATTGTTTTTTGACGCATAACGCCATAGTTCTTTCTTCTTTTCGTTTGGGAATATCATGGAGGGACATACAGTTTTTTGGTAGCATCGATCTTATCGTATGCGCATTATTTGAATTGACTAACTTGTTTCGCGGACTCGACAAAGCCGGCTAGTCACGGTAGTTTGCAAAGTGCAATGCGAAATGGGTGGGGCTCCGGTGGGTGAGGTGTGCGGTAGGATTCGATGTGTGTGTCCCGTCCCTCACTTCGTGATTCGCGCACTTAGTGTGACAGCTCAGATGGACTTTGACTGGAACGTTTACATTTCTCGATTTCCTGAATATACATACATACTATGTACTGATCTAGCACTATTTGTCACTCGATGGTCACTATGATGATATGTCCACAGTGGTTTTGATATGTAGTAAAGTGTGCACTCTGCAAGAGAAATAGAGGTATTCTGATTAGTTTAGTCACTTTTATGCACTTGCACACCTGTAAAATTAGTCTAAGAATCGTATTTATGTACTCATACATACATATATACATATCTATAAATGTACATACATCTACAGATATGATCGATCGTATGAGTAATGCACTGACAATAGGGGATCAGGCGCCTCGCTGATGCATGTGCAGAAGAGCAGATCTGTGCGGGGAGCTATAAACTGACATCCGAAATGTTCGAGCTGTGTGTGTGGCCCCCGTACGACCAATTCCATTTTGTTGCTGGCATTTCTTGCGCTCCTTATCGACGACAGAAGTGGCGCCGCCGGCATGACGGCACTCGCAAGCAACAGCAACAAAATTACGAGTCAGCCCCACACAAGGCAGAAACACACCACCATACAGAGACACTCTATACATACATACATACATCCATGCATACGCGTACATACCCACTCACACAGTCGCTTACAGAATGAATTTACTTGCTTGCGTGCAGCAGTCGAATGTAGAGGCACGGCAAGCGAGACGAGAAAAGAGCAGCAGGCAGGGCAGAGGCAGAGGCAGAGCTGGCGCCAGGGCGCCACTGACGTAATAAAAGAAATAATAGTAACGATGTCGGCGGCGGCGGCGGCATCGTCGGAATGGCGCCACCAATATAAGCTTATATCAGACAGACACAGACGCAGACACAGATACGAAGCAACGACGGTCGGTTTGTCAGCCGGTTTGACAAGTTGAAGAATCAACAATATTTAAGGTTGCGGACGACGAGGCGAGAGTATGTATATGTAGAATACATACATATGTATGTATGTACATCCATGTGTATGAATGTATGTATTTTTTCTTTGATTGTGTTTGCGTGCGGAACCAATACATACTCGAATTCTTCAGAAAATTCATCGGGTAAAAGAATTTAGGGTTTTTAAAGTGAACAGAGCTTCCCGGCGACGGGGTGTGCATTAGTCAGTAGGAGGGGGATCTTTTCTGCAGAAAATATCTACATATGTATGTATGTGCATCTGCTAATACGTCTATGCCTGTATGTACATGTATACATTCGAGAATGTTTCTTCTTTTGCCAAAGATCACGATTAAAGTACATTTGCACACATCCATAAGAGTATTTTCACTGTAAATTCTCTTCAATCTACTCGTTTCAGAGATCGGATCGGGCTAAAAACTCATACATATTATGTACATATGCTCAGTATGCACATGCGGTGGCCAAAAGATATAAGTACCGAAAACAAATAAATTTACATAACAAAAAGAGGTACCATAATCAATACTTGTCGAAATATTGCTTAGAAGTAGAGTTGTCCAGCACAGCACATTGGATAATAAACAATATACATATTTCCTTTATATTGACACTTTGCACAGACCGATCTTCGTTTTTTCCCCGCACATAGCGAAAATTGTAGCTGACATAGGAAGAATTGGTCGAAAGCAAGACTTTATTCAAGAAACGCAGAACATCGATGGTGCTGAAATCTATGTATATACATACATACTCCTACATTTAAGCGTATGTACATACATACATACACTTATCGTTTGACGACCGGCACGTTTTGATACCCTTGTTCCTGTGGCAGCTGTATGGTAACTTATAGTGATTCGATTTTGTGTTATTGCTATTTCATACATACATATGTATATTAGATATATTAGCTTTGTGAAATCATTTTAAGAAAACCCGATTACATTCATAAATCTATTGAAAAAGAGAAGAGAACCGAATTTACTTACTTTTGATATAGTGTTTATCCACTGTATCGTATCCTTAGCTTTTTGTTGTATTTGTAGAAGATATGTGTGTTGTATGCATAGATAGGTTTAATAATATACACATGTATTCTTGATATGTCTGATATGTATAAGTTTAATTTATTTCGGAATTTACATGACTAAAAAGAAATCATTTATTTAGTTAAATCGATATTGCACTATTCCTTTTGCCGAAGCTCTTTTATATCTTTCACTTTTTATCACTTAAGTTTATGTTTAAATAATAATTACACTTTGGTAACTACAGCACCATTTCAACGTTCATGACGAACGTCATTCATATTTTACCGTGTCGATTTTATAATGATAATAGTTCTTTTTGGTTTTTGATTTCGACAAATGATATCCATACAATCTCTAAGAATGTGAACAGCACCCCTTTTTTTTTTGGGAACGAAGGTTGTTTGCTGTTATGTGTTATATAATTAGTGTCCGCGATGTCAGGGTTTAAACGAGAAGCTACACAAATACAATATACCCGTATAGTTCACGGGTACTGGGTGTACATATGCACATACATATGTATGTACATAATGCAAAAGCACTGACTCTGGAAAGGAAAATAAGAAATGGTCCACTTCACTATTAAAAAGGCTCTAGACATAAGTACGAGTACACATGGAGGATTGTCACTTTCCTTTTGGATAATTGCAGGGTTTGAATTCGAATTAGCACAATTTTTTTTAAACAAAGTCGTGTGGCAACAGTGCTTGGTTATAGTTTTGTTATTGATTTATTGATTTTTAATTGGCGAAATCAATGAACGTCTGTATGTATGCATATGTGTAAATTAATCTTCTAAGCAGGCACCGGAAACTAGAGGAAATTTATTTTTTAAGCATATATCGGATTTTATAGGGTCCATCCGATTCGGATCCGTTCTACCTCTAGAATGGAATATTTTCTACATTTCACAGGTTACCACAAACCAAATGTGTATTTGGTAGTTGGCTCTGAATCATTTTCACTTTAATCAGTTTCACAAAGCGAGTCAGCTTACATTCACAATGGGGCCAACTCGAAGCGGCCTTTTGCTTGGCTGCTCAACCTTTCACTTCTTTTCCATTTTTCAGTTGAGGCAGCTGATGCACCGTTCTCGGAAAACCAAATTCCAAAATTAAATTAAATTATTGCTTATTATTTGCGCGTTTATGTTGGGTTATTGCTGTTGCTGGTACCGCTCGAGTTGAAAAAAAAACCGAACAAAAGTATTTTCTTTCTGAATTCAGAAAAAAAAGCCAAAATTTTTTCCGTTCAGTAGTTCACAAGTCTGTAACGTTTTTAGGCGATTTTCTTTTTGTCGAACTTATCAACATTTTCAACGGACTTTTTCAGAGAACGGTACTTCGTGTCGCGCTGCGCTGAAAAAAACGGTATGTCTACATATGTTCGAGTTGAATCCAGTGTGACCGCGGATTTATCAACAAAATATCCTGTCTGACCCTCAAAAATATACCGAAATATACCTTCTCATTTTCAAATTAATCGTAAATATACCGAGGAAATTCATTTTCCTCAATTTTTAGATTCGATTTAATATTACATGCTAGTTAGGACTCTGGGCACTGAACATATGATTTTATACGATTGATTAATTCAACTTCTTGAAGGATGGTTACTTTTAAAGTCTCCATTATTGGATTGTTCATAAAATATGATTTAAACAGAGAAGGTCAAGAAAAATGTCATAATATATATATACATATATAATATATATATATATATTTTTTTTATTGTTAGAAAAATGTTGCGAAAGAGAGCCATTTAAGCTCTTCCGACTCGTTTTTGCGTGTAAAGTATGAGCCGAAAAATATCCCAGAAATATATCGAGGAAAATCGAACTGTACCTCAAACCCTTTATTTTCATTTATAATGATTTATAATTATTCTTGTAGATCTTCTCTTCACATGAACTGTGCTAAAATTCTTAGAGTTGTATATATTTTTAGGTTGTATAATTTTGTTTTTTTTGGTTATGTAAAATTTAATAATGACCATTTAGATTTTTACAAGGTTTTTGTAAAATTAAATGACCATGGTCTTATGTAAAATTTACTGAGCAAGGTTTTCTTTAAAATTGAATGACCAGGAAATATCCCTCGGGTCGACCATGATCGGAAACCTTATTCCTTGATTGTTTAATATTACAAGCTAGTTAGTACTCTCAGCACTCCGACCACTAATCCCATTGATGATTTTCTACAGTTATTTTAAGGACTTCCTATATTGAATTACAGATAAAACAAGGTTTCAACAAAGAAGGTACAAAAAATATTTTTACATAGCAAGGTAGGGCCCTTACTTTATCCTATTTCCTTTAATTAATGCTAACATTTTGTTTTGTTTGTTTAATTTACCCTAGAAATAATAACTTTTCTCAGATTGACATGTTTCTTACCAATGTATGCATTTAATTTTCCTATATTTTTCTTGTATGTATTTCATTGTTGTTGTTTTGTTAATTGTCCTTTGCTCACTTTTTGTAACGTTACACGTAGCGTGTTGGCTACTTCTCACTTGTACATAAATACATGAATGTATTTATACATATGTCTGATTTAAGAAAAGAGTTTAAATGAAAGTACATATGTAATTTCTCAAAAGGAAATAACTATTTTTTTTCGAAATGGTAACGGTTTTTTAAAAAAGAAAAGTCAGTGATCAATTTTTGCTGTAAAATATATTTCAGTTATAGCAGTACCTAATTTTATGGTAATTTTGGTAAAATTGAAGTAATTGTATTTTTTGTTGTTTTTTCGGAAAATTCTTGGCCAGAATTTGTAATGTATCAGTTGTTTTTGGTACAGCCGAATTACTTTTGAAAACGGAAAGTTTTGTGCTCCCGTATTCGCAAAACGCAAAATTTGTCCGTTTTCAAAACGGAAACATTTCGTAATTGAAAACCGTAGTCTGCTATATGTATTTTTGGAAATTATATGTAAGTGCCATTTTCCGTTGCCACTGTTACATGCGTACCTTGTAATGTGCTAAATTGTCAAGACATGATGTGCAAAAGGGTGATAAAGGGGACATTTTTCTTCTTAATTATAGCTACAATAATGATCCGATCGCGATAAATCGCACCGTTTTTTGATAGGGTAAATAAAATATTATATATGTATATCATGTATGATGGACGGACGGATGGACACGTCTAGATATATGAATGTAGATGTCGGAGATGGTATGAACGTACTTAATCCGTACATCTAAACGAATGTTATATGTACATATATGTATGTATGTATGTACCTCGGTACTCTGAGTATCAGTGCATTCAGAAATATAGTTTAAAGAAATACCCATACTAATATACATATGTACATATGGATGTACATACATACTTTGATTTTTAGTTCAAATTTTGTATTGAACTATCTTTTGCTGGGTGTGTTAAAAAGGCTGATACTTTATGACTGCATAAAAATTTTGATTCTCTGGCATCTTGTAAGGGGAAAGGGATTTTAAGCTAATGAATATGATTTTTGTTCGAAACCCGGCAAAAATTTAAAAAAGATTTTGATAACACTGTAATCTATACCCATTTACATTTTAAATTTGTTTGCTACATCTGTTATCTACATATACAATGTATATTCTACATCTAACATTTAGATTATATATCTCCTCCTCTAGAGGGCGCTCGCGTACATAACGAGGCAGAGTGTGCGAGCGAGAAAGAGAATGAGTAGCGGGTCTCTTGCAGGAGGAGGTGGGGGAAGCAACTGCGAATTCATTTCTTTATTCTGGCTATAAAAATGATCCGATCTGAACCAGACTCGGCATTCTGGTAGATATGATCATTCTCTACGATGCTACTTTTGCTTTTCTGGTATCTTTAAAATTGTGGCTGCCACAGATTTTCGTCCTTTGTGGGGGCGGAAGGGGGCGGGGCGAAATTTTGAAATACATACACTTGTAGCAGTGTGATATCACATGAGTCTGGAAACAAAATTTGGTTCCTCTAGCTTTTATAGTCTCCGAGATCTAGGCGAAAAACGAGACGGACAGACGGACAGATAAACTCGGCTTTTGATGCTGATCAAGAATATATAAACTTTGTGGGGTCGGAAACGTTTCCGGTTCTGCGTTACACACATCCACTTTTACCACAAATCTATTATACCCCTTAATATATACAATATACAAATATGAAAAATATGAATTAATGCCAAAATATCGGGATTTAGTACTGTAATAAGGGGCGATATACGCGATCGAGACTCTATTTTGAAGATGCTTGGTTGGAGTACAAGAAGAATACCATAGTACTATTAGTGATACCGATTAGTTACACTTCCAATTCACTCGTAGGATAATGAATTTTAATAAATACATATGTTTATGCATGTACATATGTATGTTTCAATGGTCTGAATATGATATGTAGATCTTGCCATTGTGGCAAAATTGAGGTTTGACTTACCACCTTGATTTTTAGACATTTTTTTTTTATTATTTGCATACATATATTATTTTACAACAGATTGTTATAAATGTAAAGGCGAGTTGCCTGTTTTGAAACAAGCTTGATTGGCGCGCGTGTATTTTGCTGCGACGCGTGCTGTATTAACCGAACGTGTTGCCCTGTGGCATATTTGTAAGTGAACTAGCCGCCAGCCGTATACGGAGACATCCTTTTATACTAACGGGTACGGTACGGGTATTGTAGAGGACGACTGCGCAGCGCACGGACTACAGACGGCGCGCCGTGGCTGTGACGACAAGAACCATACCATGGCGCCGCCGCCGTCTAAAGCGAGCTTACGTCTTGGACGCCGACGCCAATCGTCGCGACTTCTGACTCATTGTCAGTGTTATGTTTCTATCTTATATTCATATACATACTAATATGCATGTACATATGTACGTGCATTCCATGCATGTTTTGTCTATACTAGTACATACATATGCATATGTAGCATTAGTTTTTTGTTAGTTTTTGGCACTAGGGCATCATATGAATGAGGAGTTAAATTTAACAGAATAGGGTTTATTTGGCAATTATGTACAGTTGTGTTTAAACGTGGAATTAGGCAAAGGCTATACAGATACAAGATATGTACAATGGAAAAACTAGAAAAAAAAACACGACCGTACGTACACACATACAAATGTATGTACAAATAAGTTGTTGGTTGGCTACACTAGGCGTCTAGCCGCAATGGTGTCTAAGCTGAAATCTGCGAGCCATTTTGTCTGGCACAGAGGTGGCGACAGCGACCGGGAACCCTGCAGACGGGCGACTGGCGTCTAAAGTTGGCTTACCACAAACGACTCGACTCCCGGGGGAAAGTTTCCGATGAAACGGAATCCCTTTGGATTTATAATCAGTCTGCTATTTCTAGTTCGTGCAACTCGCAACATAAATTTTTGTTCTTTAGGTATGATCGCATATGTAGTTATGGCTATCATACCGACCAATTCATTACATTTTTTAAAACTTAAAAACTGTGTGGAATTTAACGACCACATTTGAATAAGGTTGCATACGTGTCGAGCCAATAATCAAATGCATGCTATAAGTTTTATCTAGCTATGGAATCCTCCACCGAGCTCCTGGAGTCCTCCCCAGTTGACTGGTGGTGTCATCAATAAAAAACAACGATAGTCGAACCATAACTCGTCATCATAGACGCGACGACTATTTTCGCATCTAATTGTAAAAGCAGCGGCATTTGTCGCGACAACGGTGGCAATAAGGGGCGCGGCGCCCAATGGCGCAGCACACTTGGCCTGTTGGCAAATCAAAGTTCTGCGTATCCGCATCCGTTGTCCTGCACAAACTGCGGCACTTTCTGCTCTCGTCCTGTCGCATGCTGACGAAGACCAGGCGGCGGACGACGACGGTCGCCACAATCGTCGGCTAAGTCTAGCCTACTCTGGATACTGGAAGCTGACTGTCTGCGTCCTACCCTCCGCCAGCCTCTACCCACTACTGAGATATAAAATTTTGCCGACAAGTTGTCGTCTTGGTGACCGTCGTGTTGGCGTCGCCGACTCGGAAATTTGCAACAATTTCGAGCGCGCTGCCGCCACTTGTTACGCACTTTGGCGCCTTACTCCACTCCTCAAAGCAAAAAGTGCCGGGAACGGGAACTGCCGTCATGTTGACGCTTGATTTGATTCTGCGCCAAAATCCGAACCGAGCCACAAACAGACTCAAAACACATGTATACCGATATACATTCATACATATGTACATATGTACATAGAAGTATAAACCACTATTTTCCCAACAGTACGATTCTAATGTTTTATTCCAGGTTAAGTTATATACCATTAGTGTTATATTATATACCTAGTAGGTGGCATACTTCGGTGTTTAGCTCTAGATCAGGGCTCGCCACGGCCCTATATATTGGGT